TATGACAATATTTCAAGCAAATAATCTAAATTGCGGTATTGCTTGGCTTCATTATTCTTAGTTTCTTTCAAAATAAATCTAAAATTATTCTTTACAAAGTATGTGTAATACCTATCGTTGAATAGACAATTCGCTAACATACGAAGCCTACTCAAGGTCCTTTGATACCTAAAAAATAATAATAATAATACCAAAAAATGAAAAGGGCTCCAATAGCTTCGATAAAAAAGGAAGATGGCCAATTGTATATTACAATACTGTTTTTAGCATTATATTTTATAACCCCACATGATCCCATAGTCTCAGCTCCTTTCTGAATCGCCTCCATTTGTCAGTTGTATGTCCACTCACACCTTGTTAACACTTATTTTCTTCAACCTATTAAAATGCTCTTTCTTAACAAATACCTTAATAAAAGATTACACTGAGTAATCATACCTTAAACATCCCTTCATGAATATTGGCTACTCTGCTTCTCGTGTTTTCTTTTACTTGCTCCCTCTTTCAGCCCCCTTGAGATATGGAACGGGTGACTTCATCCTACACAATCCTCAAAGCCTTAGATAATAATAATAATAATAATAATAATTTATTCTCAAATAACTGTTTGTTACATGAGGCATGCCAGTTTACAGGCAAGATCAAATTGTTGCAAATGATACAATGTCCACTGTAGTAAATTACTTAGATGGGTTGATAATTTATAAGATATGAATGTAGATGGTTGTAATCAGTATCACAGTTTGCGCGCTTCATGAAAGTTGCGTTGCGAATGTGCAACTGATGGTCAAGGATAGGTCCATTGAAGATGGGAGCTTCTGAAATTTGCAACCTCATGCCCCTTTGGAATATCTGTGGAATATGACCAGTATGTTAATATGATACAAACGGGCTTAAATAATGATTACAACACAAGACTTTGCAAAAAATACTAATAAATAAAAAATATTTATACGAAATTTAAAACGAAGAGAATTAGAACGCTTTCTTTTACGACCAAGCAAAACATAAATTGAATTTGTGTTCAATATAGGACTCACTAATTTCGTGCCGACCGGTACTCCTCGTTCTACTGACCGACGAGAACAAACTAGGTCTGTATTTTGAAATACTGGAAGGTGAGTGAATACTTAGGCTTTAGTGTTCTGGCATTGACTTAGATGTCTGTAGTGAACTCAGTCAACCAACCTCAGTTATTACAGTGCTATGTAGTTGCTGGAGAATATTCGAAAACCAGAACACATGTTGTTGGGATAGTGTATCGTTAACAAATTACAAAATCCACAGGCACGCAAAAGACAAACACACTGGGGAGCGAAAGTATGTGAGTGAGAGTCGAAATATCCGTATGCTTTCTCTGAGGTTACTCAGTTGTAAGTCATTGATTGACTGTGTAAACAAGAAATGGGAGGATAGGTAAAAATTGAGGTGCAGACATGCGTTCAGTCAGACTCACACATACGTTTACATAGTGGTTTGACTGCCTAAATCACAGCAGGTAGGTGATAAAAAATTTAATAGGCTTACCATAATGTCACATCTAAATGTACCCTTCGGTACATTTGAACGGTACTTCTGTTAAATTATGTCTTGCGTAATCACAGTTATCATTTTCTTCTAAGAATAAGGATTTTCCATGGCTTCTTGTTGATGAAAAACATTTTACACAAATATTCATGCGTGTATGTAATGCAACTCCCCGAATAGCCATAATGTAAGTGATGACTCTCCTGAAAGTCGGTTTTTTGCCTTACTAAAGAACTGGGATTATTTGATAGCGTGATATCAGGAGCTACGTGAAGAAACAAGCGAACCTTGTTATACGAAAGCTGGTTTTTCACTGACAAATAATTCTTAACCGAAAACTTCCCAGTCCTAACCTTCCTGGGAAAAAGAGATCACACTGCTATAGCTTTTGATTTTGTTGGCAGATCTGGACTAAATATCTTATTGAAAACTGTCGTTATAATTTTAAATGTATAAATGTCAGTTTTAAAGGAAAATTTACAGCAGATCAACTTGGAAGCTTGTCTTTAACTTGATCTGGACACTTACGGAGGCTTTTTAATGCTGAAAATTTTGCGTGCTACGAATCAGTCTGTCACACAAATCAACCCTAAAGACTAAACCAACCTAAAGTCACAAGGACCACGGCCTTCCAATGCCAGGATCCAAAAGATATAAACGAACTGGTATTGACGGCATATGTGAGCACCTCAGAAAAATCATGAGCGGCAAAGTAGCGGGACCAGACAACATTCCATCAGAAGCACTGAAAGCAGATTTAGCGGCAACTACAAAAATACTTCACATTCTCTTCAGCAAGATTTGTGATGAAGAACAAGTGCCAACAGACGGGAAAGAAGGACTTCTGATCAAGATGCTAAAGAAAGACGATCTCAGCAAGTGTGATAACTACAGAGTCATCACTCTTCTCTCAACACCAGGAAAAGTCTTCAACAAGGTATTGTTAAACAGAATGAAGGTCTCCGTAGACGCCCAACTTCGAGACCAACAGGCAAGATTCCGCAAGGATCGATCGTGTACAGAACAAATCGCAACTCTACGGATCATTGTGGAACAATCAATTAAATGGAATTCATCACTCCACATCAACTTCATTGACTATGAAAAAGCATTTGGTTGTGTAGACAGGACAAAACCATGGAAACTCCTTCGACACTACGGAGTGCCTGGGAAGATGGTCAATACCATACAAAATTCATATGATGGATGAAACTGCAAAATCGTGCATGGAGGACAGTTGACAAACTCGATCGAAGTAAAGACCGGTGTCAGGTAAGGTTGCTTACTCTCACCCTTCCTCTTTCTCCTGTTGATCGACTGGATCACGAAGACGCCAACACCTGAGGGGAAGCATGGGATACAGTGGACAGCTAGAATACAGCTGGATGATCTAGACTTAGCAGATGATCTGGCTCTTCTATCGCACACACAACAACAAATTCAGGATAAGACGACCAGTGTAGCAGCAACCTCAGAAGCAGTAGGTCTCACCATACGCAATGGGTAAGCAAGATTCTCCGATACAACACAACATGCAACAGTCCAATCATATTTGACGGAGAAGATTTGGAAGGTGTAAAAACCTCTACATATCTGGGCAGCATCATTGATGAACAGGGTGGATCTGATGCAGGTGTGTAGGCGCGGATCGGCAAAGCAAGAGTAGCATATCTACAATTGAAGGACATCTGGATCTTAAAACGACCATCTGCAAGCCAACACCAAGGTCAGGATTTTCAATAAAAAAGTCAAGACAGTTCTACTGTATGGGGTAGAAACTTGGAGAACGATGAGAGCCGTCATCCAGAAGGTACAAGTGTTTATTAACAGTTGTCGGATCCGTTGGCCAGACACTATCAGCAACAACCAACTGTGGGAGAGAACAGACCATATCCCAGAGGCGGAAGAAGTCAGGACTAAGCGCTGGAAGTGGATGGGCATACACTGAGGAAAGTACCCAACTGCGTCACCAGACAAGCACTCACTTGGAATCCCCAAGGCCAATGGAGAAGAGGAAGTCCAAAGAACACATTACGTAGAGCAGTGGAGGCAGACACAAGATAAGCATCAGTACCAGATTAGGCTGGTGTTTAGATTGACATCCAACCGGGAGAACTTACTCCACCCCTCATTTTGTCAAGCAGAAACCGGAGTTTCCGAATTACTAGATAACCCCATGAAAAACCGTGAAGATTCCTCAAGGTCCTGATACAATGGTATTTTTCAACGTTTTATCCATCACGTACAACGTGCATTGACTACGGATTCGCTTGCAATTCAACAGGAGTCTTCAAGGTAAACCTAAGCGCTAGATTGATGCATCGGAAACTGCAGCGTCTAAATAAGAGCACTTTTCATGTCTCAGATATGGTCTACCCTGCCTTACTGAGAGGAGCGGCCTCAATCTTGAAAACACGTAAGTGTAATGTTCTCACATTAGCAAAGCCAAGCTCCGATCCCAGAAAATAGTCATCTGACTTATATCATAATATTCTTCAAAAGAGACCGATACAGTTTAACTACAAACTATTGACAGCACGTCTTTCAGCGTCATCAAATCTAGTGGAGTGTTTGGTATACAATTGTTTACACAACTACTTGCAGTTCATTAACTTCTTTCACTCCAACAACAAGGCTTCAGGAAGGACCACTTCTGTACTACTGATCTGTTGATTATGATGAATGGACGGACAACTATTGACGACTTTAGTGGAAGGTGGATATGATATACCTCGATTTCTCAAAGGCATTTGACGGGGTCAGTTTTATGCTTTCCACCCAATCCTTAAGTTTTATTTGGCCCCATCTAGCGTACAAAAATATCTTTCTTCCCTAATCCCAAAGCGATTGAAATATTCCGAAACATATCCAAAAGAGCCACAAAATCATCTCGGAGTATGGGTGCCTCAGCGATGATTTTTTTACATCATCTGAGAAACTCTCGGGCACCCACAAATTACACATCCAAACGCAGTCTGAGCAAAAATGTTCGGAGCAATAACCAGAAATCATAAACAACGTTGCAATATTGACTGTAGGCGTAACTACTCTTTGCGAGCAGTCAAGTCTCGTAACTCACTGCCAGCTGAGATCTTTCAGTAGTCATTCAGTAAGGAACGTGAGGTATTCCCTAGGACTCTAAACTATTCAAACGTGATGGCGTTGGAAGCGGACGGTACTGAGTTCGAGTCCCAGAGTGAACATCAACTCTGAGATGCAGGTACATCCAGCTGACGAGTCCACTGCTAGCCACTATCCATCTTTGCTTATTCAAACATCTGTTGAATTAATAATCCCAATCATTTAATCACCAAACTGAACAATAAACGCCACTAACCAGTTCAGAGATCTAAAGAATTCTCCTTTTAATGCAATGAAAAACAGTCTTAGAAAGCCTGTTACTATTTCATCAAAATCTGAACTTTGAATCTACCTTAGTTTAAACGTAGTTTCGTGAGCGTCGCAAACAGATTGTTGACGGTGGTTACTTTCGTTTCTGGTCAGGCTTAGTATGTGTGCACTAAATGCGTAAGTCTAAGAGTTGTTTTTAAAAATTTCGTATATTCTTTTCGAACAAACCTGATAATCATACCTATAATCCAATAACAGGAATCCAAGTAATGATCCTATATCAGGGGAAAGAGTCAAATTCCATCGTTTGATTGTTGACGAACCGATAAAAGATGATAACTCGGTAGTTTATTTATCTCAAGTGAGTGTACTTTTGCATTAACCACCATCTTCCAGGCCAAGATGGATGCAATGAATCTGTTTCGTGGGGACACTGTTTTGGTCAAGGGTAAGAAACGTAAAGAAACGGTGTGTGTAGCCATTGTGGATGAGAGTTGCACAGACGACAAGATTCGTTTAAATCGTTGTATTCGCAGTAATCTACGAGTAAAGCCAGGAGATATTGTCAGTTTAAAGAGTCTTCCTGACATCCTCTACGGGAAACGCATTCACGTGCTGCCTATTGACGATACTATTTTTGGTCTTACAGGGTAATGTCTTTTGTGTGTTAATGAATCTCTAGAAATTTATATGAAGCTTTTCTAAAACCATACTTTTTGGCTGCCTACCGGCCTGTACATAAAGGCGACATATTTGTCGTACGCGGTGGGATGCGAGCTGTTGAGTTCAAAGTAATTGAAACAGACCCGTCACCTTATTGCATTGTTTCTCCTGACACTACTATTCACACAGAAGGAGATCCAGTTAAACGAGAGGTACGTATGGTTTGATTACTCATTATTCACTTATAGGATGAGGAAGAAAAGCTGAATGAAATAGGTTATGACGACATAGGAGGTTGTCGTAAGCAGCTGGCTCAAATAAAAGAAATGGTTGAGTTACCTCTTCGTCACCCTCAGCTGTTCAAAGCCATAGGTGTGAAACCTCCTCGCGGAATACTCCTTTATGGACCCCCTGGTACTGGAAAAACCTTAGTTGCTCGGGCAGTAGCCAATGAAAGTGGAAGCTTTTTCTTTTTAATCAATGGGCCGGAGATAATGTCAAAATTGGCCGGCGAGTCAGAATCTAACCTACGCAAAGCGTTCGAAGAGGCAGAAAAAAATGCACCAGCCATTATTTTTATTGATGAACTTGATGCGATCGCCCCTAAGAGGGAAAAAACCCACGGTGAAGTAGAACGCCGCATCGTTTCTCAATTATTGACATTAATGGATGGTCTAAAACAACGGAGTCACGTAATTGTCATGGCTGCTACGAATCGTCCTAATAGTGTTGACCCCGCATTGAGACGCTTTGGTCGTTTTGATCGCGAAATAGAGATAGGTATTCCTGATAGTATTGGGAGACTGGATATTTTGCGGATACACACCAGGAACATCCGGCTGGCTGAAGATGTTGAACTTGAGCAAATAGCCAATGAAGCTCACGGTCACGTAGGAGCTGATCTAGCTTCGTTGTGCTCAGAAGCTGCCCTCCAACACATAAGAAACAAGATGAATCTTATTGACTTAGAAGACGACACAATTGACGCTGAAGTATTGAACTCGTTGGCCGTAACGATGGATGACTTTCGTTGGGCTTTAGGAAAGAGTAATCCGTCCGCTCTTCGCGAGACCACAGTTGAGGTACCAAATGTCACCTGGGATGATATTGGTGGGTTAGAAAATGTGAAACGAGAGCTCCAGGAACTGGTTCAGTATCCCGTTGAACACCCTGATAAATTCCTGAAATTCGGTATGACTCCTAGCAAAGGTGTCCTGTTTTATGGTCCGCCAGGTTGTGGTAAGACGTTGTTGGCGAAGGCGATTGCGAACGAATGTAAAGCCAATTTTATCAGCATCAAAGGACCCGAACTCCTTACTATGTGGTTTGGTGAATCTGAAGCAAACGTTCGGGACATTTTTGATAAAGCTCGACAAGCGGCACCGTGTGTGCTTTTCTTTGATGAACTGGACTCGATTGCCAAAGTAAGTAGCATTTTACCACTTTAATTGGTTGAGTTTGTCATTTACATGTAATGCTTATATAGCAAGTCTATTTGTATTCGAGAAGTGTTATGCAATTAGCAGGCGTTTCAAACCAACTTTAAATTTTACATTTTGCAAGACCTATGTTGCCTAGGTCTGACTTAATGAAACGCTGTGGATTTGACTAAGTTTGTTGTTTCTGGTCCGTTTTGGTATACATGCTATAAATCAAATGGCGTGCAAGCAAGTATTGTTCAGCCTTTCGAAACTGTGACTCTGAAACTTCACGTCAGTACTAACGTGAAAGACGAAAGTAATCGCTAAAGTGCCATATCGAGGAACAAGTGCACTCCTGTTGCATTTGGATGTTCTTAGTTATTCTCTCAAATATTAGTTTCTGACGTCTTGATAGTTGCTCGTAGGCTCAAATTCCTGTTCACTATTGTGCTGTTCTAATCTACAGTTCACCAACAACTCTGATCTTAGTATCTACCTTTCTGTAGATATTAGAGACAGTACTGAGAAATGGAAATGTTTGCCGTCCATAGGGATCATGCTGTTTATTCAACTAATCCATGTCGATATCCTACTCTAACGTAACGTATAAGCAGCTTACTAGTGTTTCAGTCCTGTATACCATGTATTTAGCTGGTAGACCATCCCCTACATTAAGTTTCGTCAGTATTTTTCATTTTTTTGTACAAAACATCCAATAACTGCCTTTCCTAATCAGTCCCTAGTTTATACGTTATGGCTGCTCAGTGTCTGATTTGCTGATTAACCTCGCTAAAATATTTTTTTAAAAATGGGATATGGAGCAAGGATATGGGAGTGTTGTTGATTTTTTGGTCGAAATAGTTACTGCTAATTGATTGACGAGTAATTAGATGGTGAGTTATTTATTACATATCTCTTCATGCCGGTAAATGTCACTGATATTTTCGTCCCAATAAGCGCGTTCCCCATTGCAATGTTCACTTCCCTAGGCTCGTGGAGGTAGCGTTGGTGATGCTGGAGGTGCTGCTGATCGTGTTATCAACCAACTTCTAACCGAAATGGATGGTATGTCTGCTAAAAAGAACGTTTTTATCATTGGTGCCACTAATCGCCCAGATATTATTGATGGGGCCATCTTGCGTCCTGGAAGACTCGACCAACTAATTTACATTCCACTGCCAGATGAAGCCTCAAGAGCTAATATTCTAAAAGCTAATTTAAGAAAATCCCCAATTGCAAAGGTAAGTTATACTTTTTGTCTGATCGTCATTAATGAATCATTTCAATATCGGTCTTCATTTTTGATGGAAGTATAGGATCTGTAAACTTAACTGCACCAAGCATAGAAGTGCCCTTCGATGATATTAGGAAATTCACACCACGTTTGCAGAATTATAAAATATGACTTTCGGATTTCGGCACCAGTTTGTTGGGATTGTCTTGAGTTACACTTGATGCTACTGATTTCGATTCCCTTCAAAGTGGTGAGTGTTCACCTTTAGTTCTAAATATGAAGGTGGGAGAAACTTAGTTTCCTTCGATTAAGCTATTTTGTAGTCTACCGGTTGACAATAAAAATCATATTTGTACTACCCATTGTGACTCGAAATTAGAGATATGTTAGTTATGGCCAGGTGATTTTTGTCTGATAATTCTCCCTAACTGTGCAATTATGCGTAAACCAAATTCTTTCTACATTTACCACAAAACTCTATTTATTTACAAACCCACGGTACTGTATTCCTTTCCGCTTGAATTTTGTAAATAATGGTTACTCGGTACTCTAATAACATCTAGATTCCCATCACGCGAAGTGCTTTGTATTACGAAGCTTCAATTGTTTGCCAAAAATTCTAGCTTCTCCCTCTAGGGGGTTACCATGCTCTCAATCTGATTGAGTTCTTTTTACTTCAGTGATAGTAAATGTGACGATTTGAGCTTATTCCTTGCATCACACGTTGTTTAGGGGTAACCTAAGTTGTCGCGCGAAATTCGGCTGCGTAATAGCATACAACGGAATATTATGTTATCGATGGTACTCCTGAGTCTGAAAAACCATCTTGCTTATCATTGCCGCACTAACATATTGTACCTTTTTGCTGTTGCAGTGTTCTGTAGTAGTCTTTTTAGCCAAAATTGTCTGAAATATGGCTTCAGACTAGTGCTTATATTGCTGATGTGTTGAACTTAAAGACTTACGTTCTTTGCTAAAAACAATCAGTTTAGTCAGCTTCAGTTCATTGAGACAGTTTTCCCGGTATAAAGCGTTTGGTTTCCTCAGTAATAAATTTTAAAAGTGTATGCAAATTTGCTGCCTTTCTGTTAAGCTTATATAATTACTTGTAAAATACCAGACATTTTGTGTGCCTCTATGATCCTCCTCTTTTGTCGAGTGTAAACAAAACAAATCAAAAACGTTTTAAACCGACTGGGTGATAAATTCGAACCAAAATCTACTCATCGGAAAAAAACAAGCAATTATGTTGCAACCACTCGCTTTGTATGTCGCAGTTTCAAACCCTTTTCAATCTAGCTAGGTAATATCACTGGTCTTTATAGTTATAACTTAACTGAATCAGTACTTTTCGAATCATAATTTTTATAGTTATTCCTTTACACTACCATGGGTCGCGCATTTTTAGCCCATTTAACAGTTTATATTTTAGTGTTACACTTGAGACAAATTTCTTGTCTAAATTTTAGGGATTTGGGTAACAGATTTAAGATTGTATAATGTAGTCTTTTTAACTGTTTAACAGGCATTTACTAACTCTTGGTCTTTTTAATATTAGGATGTTGACATTAATTTCTTAGCAAAAGCTACTCAGGGATTTTCGGGTGCTGACCTCACAGAAATATGTCAGCGTGCCTGTAAACAAGCAATACGTGAGTCTATCGAGGCGGAAATACGTGCTGAATCTGAAAAGAAAAACAAGCCTAATGCTATGGTAAGTTAGTTTTTAGATGTCCAACTTTTCTATGTGTTCTGGTAATGATTACGACAAGATTTTAATCACGTTGACAGTAGAGTATCTTTGCAGCATTCCAATGTTATTTTTATTTATTTACTGAAACACATAAATATTGATACAAGGAGGCATCAAATAGATATGCGCCACACAAATCATTCGATTTGTGTGAGGGTTGGGATACTGTCTGGGTGCTTAAACCGAGACAGACGGTTTTCTTAGGGGACCACTCTCCGAGGTCTAGTCCACAGGGCAGTGGAGCAACATTCGGAGGTGCAGTCCCATGGTAGCCGGTGACCAACAATGGGCTCATACGTCATTTGTTTCCTTAGGATCCTTGAGCCTTTGTGCCTCATTGGTTTGGAATCGGGGTTTTCCAAGTTCCCTAGGTGGACCCTCTGTATCTACCAACCCGGTTAAAGCGCCGGACACCCCAACCACGAGATGAGTAGGACTTCCCTGGCAATGGTTGTATGCACTTGGCCATGTGAAAGCATTTGGTGAGGGGGGGCAGACTCTCCCCACTCTCGGCCGTGCCGGGGTATTTGGAGGCAATATTCTTCTTGGCTTTTTCAAATTCCTATTATAATGAATCTCGTAGCTCTTCGGGTTCCAAACCGTGCATTCGTATAACTCATTTATAAACGGAAGTAGGAAAAACGGTATGTTTTTTTGTTTGAAGCTAACGAGGATAACCTAAAGTTCATCCATTAGTCTGGAATAATTTTCAGGTTTTAGTATGCTGTAGAGCTTCTTTGCTAACTTTACGTCTTTTCTGACGACGATTTGTATCCTTAGTCACATTCGTCAACATTCGTCATCAAAAAGTGATGGGCATAGAAAAACTAGCTATCATAGACCCTGTTCGTTTAATCGATAACAAGTGTACAGCTGATTTGTATGTGCTGTGTATGATTTTCTTAACATTTTCAATATGTCTAACATTCTCAATCCACTTATGCATTGTGTAATCCCTACCATCAACCTAAAGTGTTTTTGCTCCAGCGATTCTCCCATGTATGTACTAAGATTAACAACCTCTCACAACCGTACAGTACCTTTTATCTTACGGCGGCAACCGTCTCGTATCCACAATTAATAAAGAGGTAAACAGGAAGTAAAATAAGTCGATGTATGTTCTAATCCTCAATCTTCATAACTTATAAACAGGTAAATATTGCCGAACATGTGTTGATTATAAATCGTTGCTTAATTTGTTCTACATTTCTTAACCCCAATATCGAAAACCAATTAAACTTTCTTTGATTAACCAGGATTAGCAGTCTTCAAAGGATTCTTCGTTAAAAGTACGAATGCCAAATAGGATATGCTGGTTTTAGCTGATTTATTAGTACGGATCTCTAGCAACCGCTCACCCCATCACATTAATTGGTTGTCGTAGGAGTAGATAGACAAGCATTGGGAAGAAATAATAGAGGAAACTCTAAAATCCAACAAGAATAAGAATTTTCGATTAATGTGATGGAGATGAAAACACATAAGATACACTGTTCGTCCGTAGCCGTAGAGGTAGATATAATCTCTCACTACACATAACCAAAGCGCTTTTAAATTTGACATTTCAAGATGTTAGTCATGAATAGGACATATGAACAACGCTTCTCGTTGTCTGAAAATGGGAGAATTTCGCCAAAAGGCAAGCTTCCACATATGAACAACCTAGATTTGTTAGTTAGAGTATACGATACGGAATCATACAATTTCTTACGCTTCTCAAGATTAATTGCTGTTTATATCATTATTGATACTTATTTTGTTGGCTTCTTTTAGGAAGATGATTTTGATCCAGTGCCAGAAATAACTCGTCGTCACTTTGAAGAAGCAATGCGCTTTGCAAGACGCTCAGTGACTGAAAATGATGTACGGAAATATGAAATGTTCGCCCAAACATTGCAACAGTCAAGAGGAATAGGTAGTAATTTCAGGTTAGTGTATATATTGTTTTACCACGTTAATGCAAACTAACTTCTAGCTTGAGACTTTTATGTATTCTCGTTGTGCCCCATGTTTATTCAGAAAAATCCAATTAATGTTCATTTATTATTATCGCACAGTAAGAAAATATCATCTGCATACTCAAGGTCGAGAAGTCTTTCTCCAGGCAACAGATCCACACCACCATTACTTACATCCATCAGAGCTGTTTCCAGAATGTCATCGATGGTAAAGTTGAAGAGGAATGGTGAGATCGGGCAACCCTGTCTAACCCCACTACTTGAATGGAACAATGGAGAAAGGTGGTTGCATGCCCTCAATCTGCCTGAGGTGTTTGTATATAGGGCTTTCAGGATGTTAATAAACTTCTCAGGCACACCCTTCTTCAATAGACAATTCCAGAGAACAGCCCTGTTGGCCTGTGATAAGTATGACGGAGGGTGAAGATATGATCAATACATCCTCGACCGGAACGAAAACCAGCCTGCACCTCGCGAGTTAATCTTTCTCGGGTTTCGAACAACCTATGAAGTATGACGGAAGCCAATAGCTTGGACGCAATCGGAAGTAGACTTATCCCCCGATATTTGTTACAGGAACGATGTGAGCCCTTTTTAAAGATAGGGACAAATATTGAATCATTCCATGACGTTGGTACACTGTCTAGCCCCCAGACCTTTGCAAACAACGTCGTCAATTCCTTAATCAGAAAGTCACCACCATCTTTAAAAAGAGCCGGAAGTAAGTCATCTGGGCCAGGTGATTTGTAGCGCTTCAAGAGTTGAAGTTCCTTGCGGACTTCCACCTCATTTGGTGGATCAGACTTCACCGGCCATGGAGGGCGGGACAGTCTGATCGGTGTTCCTGGAGCAGCAGGTCAATTGAACTGCCCTTCGAAAAATTCTGCCCATCGTCCAAGACGTCAATGGATGTTGTTGATTGGCATCCCGTCATCCTCACAGATTGTTTCGCTCACATCAGACTTTTTGCTGCCAGTGGCTCAGATGAGTTGGAGTGGCTTCCGGTAGTTACCAGATGCAGCTGCTGCTTCCAGCTCATTAGCATGCTCCGACCACCAGGATTCTCGGTCCTTACGCAGGCTTTGCCTGGTTTCATTACGTAACAGCCTTCGTTTGTGGTCAAACTCACGGTCATCCGGAGTAGACCGACGGGCTTCGATGAGTTGTAAGGAACCAGTAGAAACCTGGGTGCCCAGGTCGTAGAGGTGGTAAGAATATAAGCAGTAATCGGAAAGATTAGGGTTTGATGATGTTATTCAAGAAGTATAATCCAGTGAAATAAATTTGGAAAGAGAAAAAAGGAGACAAGGAGAATTCGGAAGATTAGAATTTGGGAGAACACAAAGAGTGGATGGACCTGCGCCATTGCAAACGATTTTGAGCCATGTCATTTAAGGTCTCTAACCATCGGTTGCTGTCATCTCGCGGTCCCCAATCAAATAGTCTACACCTACCAACATGACTCAGTCCACTTGTCAGTGACTTCATGGACTCGTGGAATGTTTTGGTCTGGCCGCCCCTAGCTTTCTTCCAACCTACTCCTACACCATAAAACATCGCACGTCGCGGCATTCGGTGGTTGGGCATTCGTAACGAATGTCTCAGCCATCTCAACTGATGAAGTTTCACCACTTCATCAATTGGTTTGCCATCCTTACTAGTACCCATTTCCTAACAACTACATTAATCACTCGGTGGTCCCAGGATATACCAGCAATGTTTCGAAGACACCTATGATCGAATACTAGTAACCTACGAATATCCTCTACTCTTACCGGCCATGTTTCACTGCCGTAAAGTAGAACGGAGTGAACTGCTGAGCAGTAAATTCGTCCTTTGGTTGATAGACGGATATCTCGCCTACGCCATAAATGATGCAAGTTGGCAAGAGCTAGTCGAGCCTTCTGTATCCGTGCTGAGATTTCGTCACACACTAAACCACAAGGGCTGATGAGACTTCCCAGATAAGTGAAGCGATCGACACGCTCAATTACTTCACTCCCTAACATTAGTTCGGGTGTCAATGCAACCCAATCCTGAAGCAACATCTTGCATTTCGAGGGGGAGAATCGCATGCCGAACATGCTTGCATTGTTGCTTAGAGTGGTCAGAAGACTCGGCATTTTGTCAGCGTCTTCACCAAATAGAACTATGTCATCGGCATATTCCAAGTCAACAAGTGAACCTCCCGGTAGAAGTTCAACCTCTGGAAATTTAGATGAGGAGTGTTATCTCTAAAAGTACGTCGACCACAAAGTTGAACAAGAATGGGGAGAGTGGACAGCCCTGACGAACACCACTTGAGGTAATCAATTCTGATGACAGTTCGCCATAAACTCTCACTCGACCAGTTGTGTTCGAGTAGAGAGCCTTTACAAGGTTAATGTACTTCTTTGGTACTCCTTTCAGTGACAAACACTGCCATAGAACCTCACGATCAACAGAGTCGAATGCCGCCTTCAGGTCGAGAAATACTACCATTGTAGGGCGTCTGGATGTGTGTCTGTGTTCTAGGACCTAACGTGGTCCTACATGTAATTTCGACCATGGTTTCAGGAGACCAGGAATAACGTTTCGCGTACTCGAATCATTTACAATAGTGGTGCGAGATGATAAAGAGACGTGAGAAAGATTAGTCTTGGAGATAAGAGTTCTTAGGAGATGTAGGAAGGATTTGAATGTGACTAACTTGGTCTCGTGTGCTGTTACGGGTAATGAGGGCTGATATAACTCCTCGGCTGTGCCCACACTATGGTAGGGTATTTCTTGAGGAATCTGAGAAAAAGTCGGATTCGTGTTGGTCTTAACGACTTGGGAGCGTGACTGCAGACCCCAAGGGTCAACTGCTTGAGGCCGGGTCGCGCACGGCATTTTTGTGGGAGGTTTCTAGCGTGTTAGCTCCGTCCTTTAATGGCCCTTACCATCGGAGACGGAAATCTGCGAGGTAAGGTGGTGTGTAACATTTTTAGGGTCGACATTTTCTAACTCATCCTTGCTTGTGAGAAGACAGCATCACTGCAGACGCTGGTTGTCCGAGAAAAACATCTTACTGCTGTCACACCCCTCCACAGTCAGCATTACGACTTCACCCTCAGACCTTGAGTTGCTGCTTTTAGTCTTACCGTTCTCCAAACGACCTGTCTGGGATGGTAGAACCTACAGGAACATACGTCCCAGCCGATCTAGCTCGGTTGGGTCATCACGATAGGCTAGTCCTACCACCACGTCAAGGTAGCAGCTACGGTCAGGCTAAAAACATCATCAGATTTATCCTGTATCCTTACGTCTAGCTTCGACATTGAAACTAATTGCCTCTTAGGTAATATTCGAATATTCATCCATTATATACAGCCGTGTAACTGCAACGTAATTCTAGACTACATTATGATCTTTATCTCTTATATATACTCGAGCATGCATATATATATATATATATATATATATATATATATGTCGGCACGGATTCAAAAGATCAGATTAGCTATTTCCAACTTGCGTCAGTTGTGATGTAGGTGAGATATCTATTTACTGAAGGATTAGTTTACTGTGCTATATTTTGTTCCGTCCTACTTCATCGATATGAAACGGCCATTAAGAATAGGGGATATCCTTAGTTTACTGGTGTTCAATCCTAAGTGAATTCCAAGCGTTTTTCTTGTATCTTGGAATCACTTACTAAACGATGCCGGGATTAAAGATAGGGTACTAGATAATAGTGTCAAATCGATTGATAAGATAGTAAGTCTTCAACTGATTTAGTTGGGGCGTGTGTTTTGTGTGTCTAGCCATCTTTTACCTTGACTGGCTGTTGTCTGATGTAGAAATGGGTTGGAAGAAATTCGAGGCCCTCCGAACCAATATATCAGTCCATGGAAACATCGACCTTAGGTCTCAGTCATGTAAGTAGGTAAAGACTACTTAGTTGGAATCCACGTGATTATTTTAGCCAATGGTTAGAGACATAGCTCAAAATCGTTTGCAATGACCTTTTTATCTCGCCTTTTTATATTTTTCTGAATCATATCTTGGATACTTAGTCTTTTGTATTACCACTAATAGGGTTGCTACCTCTTGTATTTCTTTATTTGAACACAAATTGGTTCAAGGGGAGACCCAAATATGTATGTGTCACACAATAAAAATGACGTTGTTAAGAGTAGATAGATAAACGAAAATGAGTATAATATTAAAGAACAACAATGAATAGATTTTGGTATATGAGGGTGAAATAATAATGATGATAATAATGGGAGAATCAGTTCAGTTAAAAGAAATACAACCAGAAAGGATTCTTTCAGTCACAGAAGTTACTCTTACTTTTATAAAGAAAGTAAATGTAATTTGCAACAGAATCATCACTGGCTTCTATTCTGAGCTATTTCTGATAACGTCTCTAGCCACTTTGTTACCACCTCTAGGATCATAACCAGGAAGTATTGAAGGGCCAACAGAAGCCAATCATATACATCTTTCTTTTATACCACGACACCATGGCATAAACCGACCACCCCTAAACTCCCTTCAACCAGTCACAGCATCTGCAAATAATGCACAATGTGGAATTCGCTGGGACAACATTCGTAGAAAATATCCAAGCCACCAAAGTGTTCCAAGATAGTGACACTAATTGGATTATAATCGCTGTGCCCGAACACACAATGCCGAACCTCAGCATTACTACCATGGTGTTGCCACTGGATTTCATCAATCCTTCAGGGACAACGATGATCAAACACAGAGTCGTCTAACGTCCTCAACTCAGAGAGGCTAGGTTTCACAAGCATAGAGAGAAACAGCTCTCAGCGACATGTAGATCCGACCTTCTAAGGCTAACATCACAATAGTTCAAAAGACGGGGCAAATTGTTATAATTCGTCCTGGTTTTCACTAAACATGGATTGATCTAATCACTATCTCCACCACCAACACTAACTCAGCTATCCGGATAGACGAACTTCTCGACTACTTCT